AATCCAATCGGATTCAGCTCAATGGATGAATATGTCAGTAATATAGTTACATTAAAACGTGTTATTCAACGTTGACTGATGTAATTAAAAGCCCCATTCGTTCAATTTCAATCAATCCGGATATCGGAAAACGGATAATTCGTGCAAAAAACACCGCAAAACGTTCAATTCGAAAAAGCAAAGTGGGCGATTTATTCAACTCATTCACTCGTTTATTCGATACCTGGATATTGAACACATTTGCATATGAACCGATTATTGTAATATTAACGTAGTAATACGTCGTTTCTAAAAAAGCAGATATAAATTTCTAAAAAGCGTATGTACATAATAACTTCCTAAATTTTGTGTTTCTCCACATTTTGCAGGTTTCTGATCATTTTTGCATACCTCAGAAAAAATGGATGTGTGTGCGTGTGTTTGTCTTTACGGTATGAAAAGTTCCAGCAATTTTCCTTAAGACACGTTGCCATATACCACTAGTTTAGTGCTATTACCAGTTAAATATGATGCTCAGTTTTGTCCAGTCAGAATCAAGATAAAATTTTGTTTTGAGGTTATCCATTCCATACCAACCAATTATTCTATACCAACACAGTCTCAAAATATATTAAATATCTTGAAAGTTTAGAATATATTTAGATTTACCTTTCTTTTCAAAAATTATAGTCTCGTCATAGAGTTATACCCATGACGAGTATACTCGCCAATTCACAAATTCCAAAATTTATCCATGATGTGTATACTCGACAATCACAGTTAACTGATTCATAAAATTTGTCACAAATTGAATACAAAATTCTATTTTGTTATGCAGATTGGTATAGTAGAATTGCAAAACCACTCACTTGGGTTAATTTTGTACAAAATTTCTATAAAAATTTCATTAGGTATACAACAATCATTTAATTATTCAATGAACCAGTATGTTGGAAGCTGTCCCCAAACCGAAAGTAACTTATTAAAGTGCAATAATAAAGGTGTAACCAGGGTGTATGGCATCGTAGCTTGAGGTAAATTGCTGAATCTTTCGGTACAGAATTAAGATGTTGAAAATACGATTTATTTTGGATATTCAAAAAAAAAAACTAAATAAAAAAGTCCCTCAAAAACAATTGTTGCATCAACACAAGCAGAAAGTTTTTTGAAACATTCAAATTGGATGCTTAGTTCTTTAAAACACTGTCATTTTTTGCATATTTTGCCCCGTATCTATGAAACGGCTAGACCTGCATTTGCCAAAAAATCACCGCTTCTCTCCATCTTCACAAATTGGATGTTTTATGGATCATTCAAATTTATTTATGGATCATTCAAATCTGACGCTCCGTTTTCTCAAAAACTCGAGATTCATTTTTTGTAATTCCAAAACGGCTCTACCTGGCCTTGCCAAAAACACATATCTCTATCAATAGAAATCGAATGTTTTTGAATAATTTAAATCGGTTGATCCGTGCACCCGAAAACGTAGACGAAAAATTGTAGACACACAAAACACACATACATCCATTTCTTCCTAAGGTATTCCAAAATGTGAAGATATGCAAAAATTTTCATTTTCGATTTTTGGACGATTACAATAACTACCCTACGGGAAGTTGAAAAGAAAGTAGTGCTATAGGGCTCTGTGAATGGACATTAAGGACATGGCAAATACCGGCAATTACACATAGATTAGAATAGTTTAGATTAAGAAATGTTCATATTAAGGTTATAAATATGTGTATGTGTACAGTGGTGTTGTCGAGCCGGAACGCGCCGGAACGTCGTTCCGGCAAATCATCTTTGAGCCGGAACGCGTTCCGGCAAGAAAAAATATAAAAAAATCGCTACATACAGAAAATGATTTAATAAGTAAATTTTATATGTTATTATCCAACTAATTTTTCTTAAATGTTCTTATTATTGTAATAAATGTCGTTCCGGCAAATCATTTTTGAGCCGGAACGCGTTCCGGCAAGAAAAAATATAAAAAAATCGCTACATACAGAAAATGATTTAATAAGTAAATTTTATATGTTATTATCCAACTAATTTTTCTTAAATGTTTTTATTTTTGTAATAAATGTCGTTCCGGCAAATCATTTTTGGGGCGGAACGCGTTCCGTCAAGAAAAAATATTAAAAATTCGCGTTTTATACGTTATTATTCAACTAATTTTTATTAAATGTTATTATTGTAATAAACATACATATATGTGCACAAAATGGGTTTTGTAATAATTTTTGTTTCTTTCGTTTTCGAACGGAACTGGAAAAAACATGAAAACCGGTTTTAGAACCGGTTTTTAAATTTTAGCGTTCCGACAAAAAAATATCAGCACAACACCACTGGTTTTATCAAAGTCGTTTTTAATTTAGTAACAAATTGAGGTGTATGAACTTCTTATAGAAAAAATAATATTTATAAATTAAATCGTATATTCATTCGCATTTCTTATACGCTTACACCTACATCATAAGTTGCTATTCGTGTATTTTTATAGCCTTACGTGTGCCTATACGTTGCATTCTATACTACACGCCTTACATCTGTACCATACGCTATATTTCATTATATACTCTCAAATCCCTACATTGCATACCGAATACACCTAACCTATGTCTACTATATATCCTATTACCTATAATTTCCCTTACACGCTACATTAACCCTACCGAGAATCGAACCCGGGTCCGCCGCGTGGCACGCGACGACTATAACCATTCGGCCACCGTAACGCTACAATCAACCGTCTTTTTTCGCGTGTCCTCACGCCACCTTAGTATTAATTATCTAATTAATTAGAAGATGACGCGCAGAAACAACAGTGCGTCCCATATTATATTATTAATGGGGGTAGCCGATAGGGTAGTGGTTAAGGTGCGCGACTTCCACGCGGAGGTCCCGGGTTCAATTCCCGGTATAGACAATAGATAGGTAGAGATAATACATAGGGCGTAAGGTAAACCTATATAATATAGGTGAATATATAAATTAGACAGTAGTATTTATAAGAAGTAAAAGGTCTGTAGGTATATAATAAGTTAATGACGGTGTAGGTATCTCACGGTATCATTGATAATAGTCCTATGATATACAATAATATAGTATAGTAAGATAGGTAATAGGTCATCTATCGTATTATTAGGTTAAGTCTTATAAAGTATTGTAATAAATCTTGAGTACTTTTATATCATAATAAATACTTGTAGGTATTAATGAATACAAATAATACCAGAATAAATATAATTAATGTCATTGAAGAATATAAATTATGTACTAAATGATTCCCTCATACTTGTACAATTTAATGTATAGACTAGCTGTGTATAATAGAGGTTATTATTAATATGTAATAATTATTATTACATATTGGTCAAGATTTGACCAGGGCCTTTTCTATTTAACCCGGAACCCTTCGGGGTAGGGGATACAATTATATGAATATAAATACCTGTAACTTATAATAGAAGAGAGACTAGCAAAAGTAATGAGAGAAGAAGGTTGTAGATGCAAGATCAATAATATCGTAGTTTTATTCACATATTTTACGGTGATGGAATATTTATAATTTACAGTCCGCTTAATACCAAATTAATCATAGTCAACCACACATTTTATTTAAAAAATATCTATCACAAATCAACCGCATAAATATCTAGAATTTCAATAAATTGTATCGCCTTTATTTCAAACGCATACCACTTAAGTTAAGCATAACGCTAAAATTAATTTTAGATGTAAAAAGAATTATGTAAATTTACTCTTCTGTATAGATGATATTCAGAGTCATTGGAGTGAATATATTTTTGGAGTGCCATAGCAAGTGTAACATGTTAACAGTCATTAGATTCAACACCAGTTCTGAATTATCTTTGATAACCCTCCTAAATATATAATTAATCTTATAATAATTGTTGGCCAAGTGCGGAATATACATAAAGGATTTGAACCTACGCCCACTTCACCCATATTCACTAATATCAATTACTGGTACAAAAGGTATATAAGACTTCATTATCATCGCGAAAACATTTCAAAAACCTACATTATAGTAATTAAAAACTAGCTGTAAGTGGAATTCTGTCTTAAGGCAATTAAGGCATCGTGCCTTAAGGCAAATTGCTGGAACTTCCCGTACCAAAAATTATTTTTTTTAAAAACGATTAGCATTTTTGAAAAAAATTTACTTCAAAAAAATAAGATTTTTGACAAAGAATTAGACAAAAAATTACTTTTTTTTAAAAAAAAAAATTTTTTTAATTTTTTTTTTAATTTTTTTTTTTTGAAAAAAAATGTTTTCTTTATTTTGACATATTTTGAAAGATCTAAACTTTTTATCAAAGCAATCGTACTGCTTTAACTGCATAAAGACGAAATATCAAACCGCGTAAGCTCCGCGTCGACGTCTAACGCGTAAACATTGGTACGGAACCCATAGGAATGTAAACCAAAATTATACTTATTGTTAAAATCTCTATAAAATATCTGATAATTTGATGTGCATATGTCTAATGATCATTTTTGACCGCCAAATGGCATTTTTTTTTACTTTTTTCATTAGATCTCCGAAACCGCTAGACCTGCCTTTATGAAAATTTGATCGGTATTTCACCTTGTCAATACAAGTAAAACGTTTTTTGAATTATTAAAATCGGACGCTCCGTTCTCCTAAAAACTGAGTTACCGTTTTCGGCACTTTTTGCCCCGTATCTTCGGAACGGCTAGACCTGACTTCGCCAAAAACTAATCAGCACGTCTCCTTATCAATACAAATCGAATGTTTTTTGAATTAATCAAATCGGTTGATCGGTGTTCCCGAAATCGTCGACGAAAATTTGTATCCGCACATACATACACACACACACACACACACACACACACATACATCCATTTTTTCTAAGGTATGCCAAAATATTCAGAAACCTTTGAAACGTCGAGAAATGCAAAAATTTTCATTTTCGATTTTTTTGCGATTACTATAACTTACCCTACGGGAAGTTAATAATTCAACTCACCTCCACTATTTTCGTACATTCGAACATCTCTCCTATAGAACGGGACCGAATTTATCTTATGTGACAAAATATTATCCCTGGTTTCATTACTGGAATTTGCACCTATTAAATCCTTCTCTTCGTCTTCATTTTTCTGTTCAGTCAAACTCGCCACACTCCAGAGTTGTCCGTGTGCTCTTGGGGTTGTAGTGACCCCAGATGATGGAGATATTGAAGCATGCCGAATGGGACTAGTGTCTAAATCACGAGTCAAAGTAATCCCAGATGTAAGAATGGGTCCCGGACTCGGTTCCGGTTTGGGGATCACGAGCTCCGTCACTTGAGACTGGTGAGGAAGACTATCGTCCATTTGACGGAAACTGGATGGCGAAGTCGATAGCACGGACTGAAAGGAAATAAAACAATTTTTATTATATTGGAAATAATATTTTTAATTTTTGAAGTAAAACTTCTTTAGGTGCGACCAAGGTGTAAATCCATACAAATGCAACGCAAGTCCGTTACGGCAGAACTGTACGACAGTAGAGATCTGTCGTTGTATGCGTTCCGATATCAACAAGGAAATCGGCATAGATAATTAAACATTTTAAAGTTACATCGTAGTACAAATCTTGATTTAATGAGAAATGCCTGAATCAGAAGAATATTTTGTTCCTTGAAAATATTGATTAATAAGATTAATGATTAGTAAGTTTATTGATTAGAAATTATTTCTATATTATTCGTAGTTTCTATAAATCTTTGAAGTTATTAAAATGGAAAATATTTTTTAGACGAAACAGATTTTACAGCTTTTCAAAGAATGAAATTATATCGCCAGCGAAAAAGTAATAAAAATACAAGCAGTCAATGAATGTATGTTAATTTTAATTACATGAAGTTCTTCAAACACAATTTCATGATGAGTAAAGTTGCGAAAACAATATTTGTTTAGACGTTGTTTAACATAATCCACTATGTGAAAGAAATATTATAGAATTTATTAATCAGCAATTACTTCATTTCTCTAATAAAGATTCATTTCTAAATGCTAATTACAATGGCAAACCGATCATGTCATATTTGAAGTATGACATTAATTACATTATTATTTTTAAATATTATACATATTTTAATGCTATTATAAATACATACTTTATAATTTATCATTATATAAATGTGTATAATGATTGAAACTAATAAATGTGAGCATCACGAGTGTTACCATATTACAGATAAACATTATTTAAAATTGTTATATGATGTATTTATTTTTATTTAAATGCCATATTGTACAGTAGCAAATAAGATTTACTTCAATTGCGTGTGAACCTTACGCGCACTCTTTTTTTGAGAAAGTGAAAATACTTTTATTCTTTCTCTTTCTTACATATCAATCCGAATCTGTTTAAGGAGGAATTTAGTAATTATGGAAGTCAGTATATACGTAATGATGGAATGTTGAAATGTTGAAATATGAACTAGCTGTAAGTGGAATTCTGTCTTGAGGCAATTATGGCATCGTGCCTTAAGGCAAATTGCAAATATTTTCGATATACAAGAAACTAAAAAAAAAAAAAAAAAAAAAAAAAAAAAAAAAAAAAAAATTGGAGCAAAAATTTTTTTTCGCAAAATCAATTATTAAAAACTAATAAACACTTCTCCCAATCATTACTAATTGAATGTTTTTTAGATCATTCAAATCGGATACTCCGTTCTCTCAAAAATTCGATTTCTATTTTCTGCACTCTTTGCTCCGTATCTCCGAAACGGCTGGACCTGCCTTTGCCAAAAACTAATCAGCTCTTTTCCCTATCAATAGGAATCGAATGCTTTTTGAACCATTCAAATCGGTTGATCCGTACGCCCGAAAACGTTGGCGAAAATTTGTATCCATACATACATACACACACACACACACACACACACACATCCATTTTTTCTAAGGTATGCCAAAACGTTCAGAAACCTTCAAAACGTCGAGAAATGTAAAAATTTTCAATTCCGATTTTCGGCCCATTACAATAACTTACCCTACGGGAAGTTAAAAAGATATTAATCATTTAAATTAATAATGCTCAACGTAATCCCCATTTGTTTGGGTTTTTAGCATTCTAAACCAAAGAGCAAAAAAAATTGCATTAATATACGCTTTTTGATAGAACAATAATTGAAAAACTTTTAAGAAAGTAAAGGTTAACCGATTGGAGGGTAATTTTAATGCTCGAAGAATAGTAGAAGTGTTCAGATCTAATCCAAAATTATTCCAATATGAATTTTCTATACTGTACTTTATTATAAAAAAAACATGAAAAACTTTTAAGAAAGAAAGTTGATTGAAGCTTTCAAAAACGTCATATTTTCTCTAAAAGAAAATAGTTATGTGATGAAACATGAGGTAAAAGATATGAATGAATATTTTTCAGAAGCCAACAATTTCTAATGATCCATTTTAAGTTCTTTAATAAATACAAATAGTTTGCAAAGTTTTATTGCAACACTGAACTTAACTCTCCGATTTAAATGTTTGTATAAACTTAAAAAATCACTTAATGTGTTTCGTACATAAATGATCAACAAAGAAAAAGCAAAAGTTCTCGAAATTTTCGAATAAACCATGATATAAAACTTTTTTACACTTATGAATATATCAAATTCATATTTTTGAGATGTAAATGATTGCTAATGAAAACGAACAGATTAATTGCAGAATATTTTAAACTAGTTGCTGATAAATGACTCGTATATGAATCAGTTTCAACATATTAAGTTTGAATTGTTACAAATTTGTTTGAACATATATTTTAACATTTAAAAAATCTATCAATAAAAAAGCACAGAAGCAATTAAATAATACATAAATATAATTGGCGGTTTATAGTTTAACTAGCTGTAAGTGGAATTCTGTCTTAAGGCAATTAGGGCATCGTGCCTTAAGGCAAATTGCTGGAACTTCCCGTACCAAAAATTATTTTTTTTTTTTAAAACGATTAACATTTTTGAAAAAAAATTACTTTGAAAAAATAAGATTTTTGAGAAACTATAAATTGGACAAAAAATTAGTTTTTTTTGAAAAAAAAAAATTTTTAAAAAAAAATTTTTTTTTTAAAAAATTTTTTTTTTAAATTTTTTTTTTTTTTGAAATAAAAAATTTTTTTCTTTATTTTGACATATTGTGGAAGATCTGAACTTTTTTTCAAAGCAATCGTACTGCTTCAACTACATAGGGACAAAATATAAAGCGCGTAAGCGCCGCGTCGCTGTCTAACGCATAAGCATTGGTACGGAACCGATAGGAATGTTAACAAAATGTATACTTATTGTTAAAATCTCTATAAAATGTCTGATAATTTGATGTGCATATGTCTAATGATCATTTTTGACCGCCAAATGGCTCATTTTTTTACTTTTTCCTCTATATCTCCGAAACCGCTGGACCTACCTTCATGAAAGTTGTATCGATTCTTCATCTTGTCAATACAAATAAAATGTTTTTGAATTATTGAAATCGGACGCTCCGTTCTCTTAAAAACTGAGTTACCGTTTTCGGAACTTTTTGCCCCGTATCTTCGGAACGGCTTGACCTGCCTTTGCCAAAAACTAATCAGCACGTCTCCTTATCAATACGGATCGAATGTTTTTTGAATTATTCAAATCGGTTGATTCTTGTTCCCGAAATCGTCGACGAAAATTTGTATCCGCACATACATACACACACATACATACATACATACATACACACACACATACACACACACACACACACACACACACACCATACATCATTTTTCTAAGGTATGCCAAAATGTTCAGAAACCTCTGAAACGTAAAGATATATAAAAATTTTCATTTTCGATTTTTTTGCGATTACTATAACTTGCCCTACGGGAAGTTAATAATACCAGTAAGTAAGTGCATCACGCAATTTCTTAATGACAAAACATTATTATTTTTAAAAATATATTTCTAATAAATTTGTAATATTTCATAACAATATAAAGATAAAGCAGAAACAATTTTCGCTAAAATCGAAAGCAAAATATCTTTCGAAAGCCCAATCTTAGAAGAACGAGGTAGATTAATAAATAATTAAGTACCCTTTTGAAACGTTCCCGTTATTAATTAATGTACTGAAGTAATTTACTGATTCAGGTACATTACTTACATGCATAATCGAATACGAAATGAAAAGCTTTCAAGAGATTAGTGTCAATACCATAACAATGTATTCTATAGTTTTAATGATTCGTCAATAAAGTGCCGTGTAAGCACTCATAATACAGACATTAATCAAACTACAGTAACGTTCCTGTCATATGTTGATTCATACACTTTGCTTGATTATAACACTTTTCTCAATTAATTACTTTTTTATTATTACATACATAACTATTACTTTAAAAGCTTTATTAATAATTTATTCTAAGCAATGTTATTGAACAAGACTGTCTTAAGCTTTTGCAAAAGCTTAACTTTTGGTGCATCATGCCTCAAGGCAAATTCCTGGAACATCCCGTACCGCAATATTCGAGAAATATTAAATGCTATTAAATAGATTATTATACAGGGTATGTTATTGTACTTGTCCAAAAATCGAAATTGAAAATTTCTGCATATCTAAACAATTAGACGTACTTTAGAAAAAATGAATGCGTGTATGTATGTATGTATGGATACAATTTTTCACCACGTTTAACGGATTCACCGATTTCAATGGTTCAAAAAACATTCGATTCCTATTGATAAAGAAACGTGCAGATTAATTTTTGGCAAAGGCAGGTCCGGCAGTTACGGAGATATGGAGCAAAGAGTGTAGAAAATAGAAATAGAGTTTTTGAGAGAGCGGAGTGTTCGATTTGAATGATCCAAAAAATATTCAAATTGTAATGGTGGCGAAAATTGGTGATTAGTTTTTGGCAAAGTCAGGTCCAGCCGATTCAGAGATACGGAGCTAAATGTGCATCTGATTTGAATGATCCAAAATACTTTCTGCTCGTATTAGCATAACTATTGCTTTTGGGGAAAGATTTTTTTATTTATTTATTTTTCAGTATGCAAAACTTTTTTTTTCAATTCATAAGCTCTTATATTTTGTCCTAATAAGAATAATAAAAGTTACAGTATTTATAATAATCTCTATAAAAACATTTAATATCCCTCAAATATCTCATTACGGTACGGGAAGTTCCAGCAATTTGCCTTACTAGCTATTATTATTATTACAAGATATTCACTAATACTGATTATTTTTTCAATTTGTTGCAGCAATGCCGGAAAAAAGCTATTTCCACTTGGAAATATAATTTCTTCTATATTTTCAAGTGAAAACCGATGTTTATTCCACCTTTACGAAAGACTGCGAAAATTTAGCTTTTTAAACTTCTTTTGCATTATTTTTCCTAGAAA